ATAGCTAGGATTTAATGATTTAACAAATCTTTTGAATCCTTTGTCCTCCACAATGCTAAATGGCTGTGAGTCCTCAATCACCATGCTGACCAGGTCTTCATCTATTTGAGATTGTTCTCCTGAGGAAAGACAATAAAGACAAAGCACAAATATAAATATCACACACGTAACTTATAACAGTTGTATAATATTGTTATATCATTTAGTAACATTACTGCATCCTATATTATCATTGCATTTGATGGCTCACCTGGTCTTGCTCCACGATCGGTGTTCCCCTTATTCTCATGCAAAGCTCTGTAGTGCCTAAGCATGGATGTTGTTGTTATATCCCAGCTCCCTGGCACATAGCAAACACTTCACCTTGTACAAAAGTCAAGACAGCTCAACATAAATTGTATTGCACCATCAGTATCATGAAAATACATCTTCTGTAGAAATACCTTGTTGGGAGGAATAAGATCAAAATGTTCCCACACAGGGGAGGACATCCTCCTCTTCTTAGCTGGCTCCATTCTCTCCTGACTTTCTCTCCTCACTCTCATAAACCTCCATACGGTCTCCAAACTCTCACTAACCGCAACTCTCCATCAAACACCCACATTTTTGAATGAAGTCTGAGAGGTTTATATCGCTGTCATATCTCGCGGCAAAGTTCGAACCACTTCATGAACCAGTCACGTGGTACAGCCGGGCAGCGAGGCTTCGGACGTCATCATTTTCAGCTCCTCCCATAAATGAAGCAAGCCTCGATACGCGCTTCGCGGAAACGCCCCCTCCATTACTCGACACACGCTCCGAAGCCTCGATACAGAACGTCCCATCACTATCTGTCAGTCCTCTGGTGTAAGTTTATTTTGATTTTTTCCAGTTATGTTATATTTGAGTTTAACATTAAAGCTGTTTTGAGTTCACATCTGTCTCCGGAGTCTGCACCTTGGGTCTTTTTCCTGCCTGCACACAGCCGTCACATAACAGGTCTTAGTAAAGATTGGGAAGAGCGATCCCAAACAGAATCCATTACCAGGTTGTAATCCCCAGACATAACCAGATGATAACTATCCAGATTGGGAATGGAGCTTAGCATTAGCGCTCAGCCTGAGCTGGAGGTTTAAGGGTCGAGGGTCTGCGAGCCAGAGGGGTCTGCTCAGCCAGAGCTGGAGGTTTGAGCTCCGGGGGTCTGCGTGCCGGATGGGCTGCTTAGCCCAGGCTAGAGGTTTAAGGGCCGAGGGTCTGTGCGCCAGAGAGGGCCATTCAGCCCAATCTGGGGGTTTGAGCTACATGGGTCTGCACACTAGAGGTGCCCGCTCAACCTGAGGTGGAAGTTTGAGCGCAGAGGATCTGCGCACCGGATGGTCCCGCTCTGCCTGAGTCGGAGGTTTGAGCACCGGGGGTCTGCGAGCTGTCCATACCTACCACACCTGCACACCCGCTTCCTCATCCAGCACCGACTGCACCGCTGCTTCCGAGTCCAGCAGCGAAACACCAGCCATCAGCCAAGACCAATAATCATTGGCCACTTTCCAGGCCAACAGCTAAGGAGCTGTTGAGAGCCACCGGAGCCGTTATGTTATCAGTGCCACAGGACCCAGGGCAGGCCGGTTGATCTGTAACACCACTGTCACTGGACCCGGGGCAGGCTGCCTGAGCCGCAATGCTGCCGCCACTGGTCTCATCACAGGCCGCCTAGACTGTTTTGGTGCCACTGAACCCATGGGAGGCTGCCTAAACGGTCTTGCCGGATTTGCCACCAACCAAGTTGGCCACAAGAACTTGGCTTGTTGGACTGTGTGCCGCTGCTGCTGGAGGTGCAGCCGGGTTTTTTAATTGTTTGGACTAAGGCTCTGATATTGTTTTGAGTCCTTCGTCATGGAAACCCCCCCCCCCCCCCCCCCCAGCAGGCACCTTCAGGCCTGCTGGGGGGGTTCATTCATTATGCAAATGTACTCTTTATAAGATTGGAGAAACCTGCAGTCAGCTGAGACTGAAGAAGTCTCTGGGATGAGTGACGAAACGTTTGTCCCACTGAAAACGCTACGTCCAGATGAACAGAATCAACTTCTGGGATTTCCTTACCTGGATGATTGAGCATGCATCAAGATATTACCCACAATTACTTAGGTACACGGGAACAAAGGGACAGCAAGTCAGTTTTATCATAAATGACACATTTATGACTTACAATAAAAATATTTTTATTGCAACATAAAAAAATGTAGGTTTGTCTCTTCATGGAGCAAAACACACTCACATCCTGTAAGAAAACACAGACCACTGAAAACTTTACACATGGGTAAGAAAATATTTAATTTTCCACATACTGCCCGTTTAAAAATGACACAAATTTATCAATTTACCTTTTTTTTACTGTAACATTAAAAATTGCAGGAGGGGTTGTGTCTTTGTGGAGCAAAACAGACTCACACAATATTGTAAGACAATAGAGCCCATTTAAAACACATTTCATGTGAGTTACAATAGAAGTGGCGCAGCACTGACACTGATAATTACCTCACGATGAATAGCCAAATAAACCAGGGGTCCCCAATCCCAGTCCACGAGGGCCGGTGTCCCTGCAGGGTTTAGAGGTGTCCTTGATCCGTCATAGATGATTTAAAAATGTTAAATTATCCCCTTCAACATGTCTTGACATTGTCCAGAGGCCTGGTAATGAAGTAATCATGTGATTCAGGTGTGTTGACCCAGAGTGAGATCTAAAACCTGCAGGGACACCGGCCCTCGTGGACTGGGATTGGGGACTCCTGAAATAAACAGTAACAGGTCTGACAGTTTGACCCAGAAGGTGAACTCTTCTGACATTTTGTTTTTCTTGTGATCAGATGATGGGAGTAATTTTTTCTCTGTATGCTGTTTGTGGACACAGCCAGTGAAGTTAAACTTGCTAAACTTGGAACAAGTTGAATTGTGAAGCCTGATCTCAAGCTTTTTAAGTTTGACGCAGCATCCAGAAGAACTTTTGTTCAGACCCCTGTTTCTCCCACTGTGTTCAAATGAACCCTGTCAGGGTAATGTCTAGGGCTGCCACGATTAGTCGACTAGTCACGATTACGTCGACTATCAAAATCGCCAACGACTAATTTAATAGTCAAGGCGTCGTTTGAAGCTTTGTAAGATCCCAAAAGACGCAGGAATAAGTAGTAGGATTTAAGAGTGTAATAACGGACTGAAACAGAAGATGGCAGCACTGCATGAAGAAGGATGACAGCTGCCATTAAACACCGAAGAAGAAGAAGCTGTGTCCCAGAATTCATTGCACAGCTCAGTTTCCAACAATGGCGGCAGCTAGTCAGTTTTATTCTTATCATTCTTTCTGGGTCACAAAGTAAACGCTTAACATATTTTCAGGCGAGAATGTAGCTGTGTAAACTTCAAATATCTGCTCAGTTTATCAAGACACCACATTTTTTCAAAAGTGCTCCGACGTTTTCGGAGACTTCGATAGCTAGCCGGGGTTACAGGCTCCCTGGAGCCGGTGAGAACACCGGACTCCCGGCAAATGGTTTCCAAACCCACCGCCATCTTTCACTACTCAGGTTAAACATGATATATAAGTCACTTAGATAACTTAAAAATGTTACTGTTCTGCTTTTTTTCAGTATTTTATTTGTTCCTGAGTAAATCGGTTTGGCTGAGATTAAAGTTATAGTTTTTACACAGCTGAAAAAACGTCAAGCAGACAGCTGATTATCAGAAATGTGAGATGCTCGAGAATATACTCCGGTGTCCTGTTATATTTTAGATAGCAAGGAGTAGGGATTTGGTATCGTTTAGGTTTTATCCGATACCGGTGCCAAACTGGTACTTTTGAAACGGTGCCGGTGCTTAAAGAATGGAGAACACAAAATTGGTCCAAAAACCTCTCATGTTCAGCTGTTTTTTTGTAAAAAGATAACAATGTTAGTCTTTTCTGCAGCTATGGGGCATATATGGCATCAGTCTTGGCTGGAAGCAGTGCTTAATCAATGGAAAAAACACAAACTTTCTCCAAAAACCTCTCATGTTTAACTGTTTTCCAATCTTTCTTTGGTCATTTTAGCCTTTTTGGCCAGGGTGAAGGGAGTATCTGCCATCAAACAAGAAGACAGCCGCAAATAGATATGATGCTGTTTGCTAGTTCACCTTACATGCATTAATGTAATAACGTGTTTAGCCTACTCAACATAAATTACACACGAACAACATTAAGCTACTCACGCAGAGAAGAACGGCTGCTGCTGCATCATCATTTCTGCTACACTGGCAGGGCTAGGGGCCAGGACTCCCCTCTTCGGGTTTTTGGGGGATGTTGCTAACTCCGGGTCCGATAACAGGCACCACACCCGCAGTAGACGTGCTCGGTGTGAGGTCTCGCAGCAAGCTATCAAATACGGCGCATTTTTCGGCTTTAAAAAACACCATTATGCGTCGCCAGGTGTTTCATCGGATTCGAGGTGTTACATCCTTTGACAGTATCAAAGTATCACCTTAAAGCACTTGTTGCAGGCTGCTGAGTTTGCATATTTTGCTGTGAAGTACAGCCAGACTTTTCACCGCTTTGCCTTGGGCATTTTTAATCTGTAGCTCTGCTCCAAAAGAACGTACGTACCTGGACCCGCCTACTATCCTCGGAAACGTAAAATGATTGGCTAGAATCTAAAGTGTATGACATCTCAGGAAAATAAAAGCACCGAAATAAAGCACCAAAATGTGCGCTTCTTTTCGGTCTGGTTACTACCGTTTATGTCAGAACTGGTGCCGTCATGGCACCGGATACAGGTACCCATCCCTAGCAAGGAGTTTATTAAACTTCACCGAAACAATCTGCACATTTCATTAAAATTTAATAAACTATCACCTTGTCTCTATTCTTAGTTAGCACAGACCTTAAACACTTAAAGCTGTAAGCTCATGATAGTTATATAAGAGCAGATGCATGCTGTACATTTTACGTCCAATGGATGCATGATCTGATTAGTCGACTAATTGCAAAAATAATCGGTGACTAGTCGACTATCAAAATAATCATTTGTGGCAGCCCTAGTAATGTCCCATTGGTCTGCCACTTTTCTCAGAGGAGGACACTTTGTGGGTTTTCTGATGCCTCAATAGATTTGTTTTATGGATGAAAGACTTTCCACAGTGACCACATACAAATGATTTAACTCCAGAGTGAGTGAGCTGATGTGATTTTAAGCCAGTCATGTGAGTAAAAGCCTTTCCACATTGACCACATTTAAATGATGTAACTCCAGAGTGGGTGAGCTGATGTGATTTTAAGCCAGTCATGTGAGTAAAAGCCTTTCCACATTGACCACATTTAAATGATGTAACTCCAGAGTGGGTGAGCTGATGTGATTTTAAGCCAGTCATGTGAGTAAAAGCCTTTCCACACTGACCACATACAAATTGTTTAGCACCAGAGTGGATGAGCTGATGTGCTTTTAACCTTTCGATCTCAATATAAGCCTTTCCACAGTCACCACATACAAATTGTTTAGTACCAGAGTGGATAAGCTGATGTGATTTCAAGGCAGCAAAGTGAGTAAAAGACTTTCCACACTGCTCACAGCTGAAGGGTTTATCTCCACTGTGGATGAGCTGATGTCTTTTTAAGTTACTAACGTAAGCAAAAGCCTTTCCACACTGATCACAGGTGAGAGGTTTATCTCCACTGTGGATGAGCTGATGTACTTTTAAATTGCCTATCTGAGTAAAAGACTTTCCACACAGATCACAACTGAATGGTTTCTCTCCACTGTGGATGAGCTGATGTCTTTTTAAGTTACCAACGTAAGCAAAAGCCTTTCCACACTGATCACAGCTGAGAGGTTTATCTCCACTGTGGATAAGCTGATGTGTTTTTAAATTGCCCATCTGAGTAAAAGACTTTCCACACAGATCACACCTGAATGGTTTATCTCCACTGTGGATGAGCTGATGTGTTTTTAAGCTACCAATCCGAGTAAAGGTCTTTCCACACTGATCACAGCTGAATGGTTTCACACCGGTGTGGATCAGCTGATGTGATTTGAAGTGAAAAATCTGAGTAAAGGTCTTTCCACACTGATCACAGCTGAATGGTTTCACACCGGTGTGGATCAGCTGATGTCTTTTTATGTTGTTACTGTGAGTAAAAGACATCCCACACAGATCACAGTTGAAAGCTTTAAATTTCGTGTGGACGAGCTGATGTGATTTTAAGTTGCATCTCTGAGTAAAGGTCTTTCCACACTGATCACAGCTGAATGGTTTCACACCGGTGTGGATCAGCTGATGTGCTTTTAAGTGACCAATCTGAGTAAAAGACTTTCCACACTGATCACAGCTGAAAGCTTTAAATTTCGTGTGGACGACCTGATGTGTTTTTAAGCTCCATCTATGAGTAAAGGTCTTCCCACATTGATCACAGCTGAATGGTTTCACACCGGTGTGGATCAGCTGATGTGATTTCAAGTGACCAATCTGAGTAAAAGACTTTCCACACAGATCACAGCTCAAGCTTCTGTCCTCCCCGTTGGCGCGCTTGCGTCTTCTGGGCTGCTTCATAGCAGGAAAAGTCTTTTCCACAGGGATCGCCGCTGGCTCATCTTTACTTTCTGGTGCTGGATGTTTTTGGTTGATGTCATCCATGTGCTGAGGTTTCGGCCTGCTTTCACTTCTTTCTCCTGTAATGACAAAGAACCCAAACAGTGACATCAGGTCTATACCTTCAGCTCATCCACAAGTGCCCCCTCTTACCTCACAAAGATAAACAGTTTCACCATCTGCCAAACGTCTCAGGTGCCTGGGGACGCTATGCTGTGGTAAATATTTGAAGTGAGCTCATTTTGGGGATAAAAGTAGTAAAAGTTCAACTTGTGAATAAAAAGTTTTTTAGTTTTTACTTTGTTCAAATCTGAAGAACATCACACTTACAATGTGCAGTTCAGGTTGTATGTGTGAGAGCTGTACAACCAAATCCACACTGACTCAGATTTCCCTCTGATTAACCACGAGGGTGTCACAGTTATCAAAGTCTGCAGACACTGTCAGCTGCAATCAACACCTTTTATTCTAATGCACAGGTGAGTTATAATGCATCTCCACTAGAAGATGGTCCCCTGTTATCTACTTTTTCACAGGCAAGCGTGGGTGAGAGTCTACAGCTTTCTACCCCCCAAGGACACGTAGTCTAATGTCTTTATTTTTCATGGCCATGTCCACTTAATACTACACTATATGGTTATATGGCATTTTAGTTAATATACAGCATAGAATTGAGGCACATCAAATATTTTCATCTCAACACCTCCTCCCTGGAGATAAGGAGTCTCACTATCTGCCTAATGTCTCATGGTGCCTGGGAGTGTCAGTCCAACTCACTCACAATACCCATCTGTGTGTGGAATAACCTGTGAAATACTTATTTGATGTTTTCCTATATGTAGAACAAAGTCACACAAAATGTACTATAGATATTACTAAAGTCATATTGTCAAAACATATGATCAACACATAAAATAAAGAAATGTCCATCACAAGAGTTAGCAGCTTACACAAGAAAAGACGTCAGAAAGAATATGAAAGAAGAAACGTGGAAAAGGAAAACAGCATTTTTAACGAAGTCATGATCACTCCACAGACATCACCTTCATATGAAGGGAAACAAAGAGTGTAACTCAAATGATAAAACATTAATGTACTGAGGCAGACAAACAGAGGCTAAACAGAAGGCAGAAATCAAACCAAAATGAGCTAAGAGAGAGAGACTCTGTAGAAAATGATAAAGTTAAGCAACCAGTGTAGTTATAACTGACTTACTCTGGATCTCCTCTCAGACTCAGGAGGGGGCGAGCGGGCTGGCTTTGTAGTTGGAGTCGGACCAGCAGAGACAATGGGCTCACTGACCTCAACTCCCCAAGTCAGTCACCACGAGGACAAGTTCTTTGTTTAGAGATGATTTAATCCAAGCTCACCAACAACATCACTCAGCTGTCCTCGTCAGAACTGATAAAATAAAAGCAGTTACATTTAGAAACGTCAGTTTACTAAACATAAAAATATTGCTCTATTAGCCTCGCTCACATGTTCTGTAAAGATTAAATGACTTAAATCATCACGTGGTTTACAAAAACACATTGTTAATCTCAGCAAATAAGTGTGCATCCAGAAATAACTGTTTTATCTCGTTTGACATGGAAACTTAAAATTACAAAGACACACTGAACGCACCTTCCTACCAGCTGTAACCTAGCAGGAGAACGTACGTTCGTCTTCGCAGCTGCAACACATACTGTAACGTCGGGTTGTGTTGCGTGGTTGAGAGGAGGCGGCAAAACACCTAGCAGGCTAGTCGGAAGAACACACACCCACGCTGGTATCGGTAATCCACGGTGGTTCTTTAATACGCCTTCCTCAACAACCATATAAAAGCCCGGTTGAACGGCTGCGGCTCAACAACATAACGCCCAGCGTTCATACAACCCAAGCGTTGCAAATAAAACAAAAAAAAAGGTCTGGAGAAGAAAACATAAATCCGTCCCTCGTTAAGCACAAGCGTGAAGGCACGTGTCCTCATAATCCCGGAGCGAGAGAGCAGTGGCACAAACTGATGACACCATCAACCCTCGACTTGGGCGTCTTAAAGACTGCGGTCAAGTGAGCCCTCACTTAGGAAGTCACAGTCAAGCTAGCCGCTCCGCCAGCCGCACCGAAAATGTGGTTGCACTACTCTTACGTATATTACGGTATGGGTGAAGACTGGCTTAGAAACGCAGTGTTTTGTGTCCTGATACTATTTTACTTCACAATCCACTCCCAGTTTTGGTTTATCTCCACTTTCCCCCCTGTGATCCACAGCCCAAATTACTGTATGATTCAGAGAAAATTAACAATAAAATTTACCCAATTTACTCAACTGTACTTTTAATGTCCTCATCTTTGACCTCAGATTACAGGAAAACTATAAGAGGTGACGCAGATATTTCACTGGATTATGACTCTGGGTGACCCCCACTCTGCACCCTGTGATCCACAGCCAAAATTACTGTACGGATTTTGAGAAAATTGATAGTAAAATCTTCCCATTTTGCTTTACTGTACTCTACATATTGACATCTTTGAGCTCAGATTACAGGAAAACTGTAAGAGGTGACACAGATATTTCACTGGATTATGACTCTGGGGGACCCCCACTCTGCACCCTGTGATCCACAGCCAAAATTACTGTACGGATTTTGAGAAAATTGATAGTAAACTTTGCACAATTTACTGTACTATACTCTATATATTCTCATCTTTGATCTCAGATTACAGGAAAACTATAAGAGGTGACGCAGATATCTCACTGGATTATGACTCTGGGTGACCCCCACTCTGCACCCTGTGATCCACAGCCAAAATTACTGTACGGATTTCTGATAAAATTAAATCCTATTCCATTACCAAACAAAATGAGTTCATTGAAGTATTTGCTTAACTACAAGAAATGTCTTTCCACACACAATTTAAAATTTTCAAAATGTCATTCACACACCACCTCAAGTATCAACTTCAGTTTTAGACATTATTTATTCAGTGCTTAATCACAACAATAGTCAACTTAAGGCACTTACATAATAAGTTAAACCTTACAATAATACATACAGAGAAAAACCCAACAATCATATGACCCCCTATGAGCAACAGTGGGAAGGAAAAACTCCCTTTTAACAGGAAGAAACCTCCGGCAGAACCAGGCTCAGGGAGGGGCGGGGCCATCTGCCTCAACCGGTCAGGGTGAGAAATTACATTTCTCAGATTACTGATTTCTCATATTACTACTACACAGTTTAGATATATTGTTATTCATTATCTGTCATCACACAAATCAACCCAAAAAATCAAAAAGGAAATACTTGAAGTACGTGCACAAAGCAAGAATGTTATACACATTGTGTTTTACACATGTGTTCCTCAAAACACCAATAATAACTATAAGCAGATTATTCAAGTAGCTTTCACCTCATGTGGAATTAGGTTACACAAAGCACACACTTCCACTCTGTCTTCTGAGTACTGCTGAGCTGTTCATTTGTCATGTCCAGGCATTCAGAATGGAACCAGCGGTTGCAATTATCACACTGGATCTGTAAACAAAAACATATGAACTTTCATAAACACATTACGTAAATAATTCTATGTTTTAATCAATTACAATCATTAAAGACACAGAGTCAAATATTTTTTGGAAGATAACATAAAACAATTTTTAAAAATACTATACCCAGTCAATGATGGAGGGTCCTGGATTAGGTGGTTTCACTGTTGCACACATGGCACAGTTGTTGTCACTGTCAAATACTAAGACATAACATATATATATATGTTAGTGTTCATCAGTTTGACACAAATAAATATGTCCATTTGAAGAAGATATTACACACCGGAGGCCTCAAGTATTGTCTGTGCAAATGTCCTTCGTGCCTGGGCCATCTCTTTTTTTGTCGTCAAAAATCTCTGTGTGTTAGCCCTGCGACAGACTGGTGACCTGTCCGGGGTGTACCCCGCCTCTCGCCCCATGACAGCTGGGATAGGCTCCAGTGCCCCCCGCGACCCTGAAAAAGGACAAGCGGAAGCGGATGGATGGATGGATGGATGGATGGATGGATGGATGGATGGATGGCTTCCATTACTTCTTTGGCCATCTGAAATAAAAAAAAAAACAACAAAAACAATTAATTGAAAACATCTGCAAATGTTACACTTCCTGTTTACACAATTTAACCTTTTAAGATTATTTTAACTTCCCCCACCCCATCTTCTTATCTAATTTCACAGAAAAATATTATTGCGTTAATGTTGTACCATACCATGATGACCATTACTCCGCAGCTAGAACCATCCCGTTGAAATGGATGTGTCAGTACTCCTCCTCGAAGTCTCACATTCACCCAGTCTGTTTTGTTGTAGCATGTCCTCCTCATTTTGAAGTATTCACTTTGTGAACATAACATACATCACATTTATATAATAATGAAAGATAAAAGTCACACAGAAAAAGACACATATAGTACAAAGACCGTTGCTCTGAACGGACTTTACAATCATTATCACAATCACCATGACTTGAAAGAGTCATTGTGTCAAGCCAATGAAAGATTAAATTCTGGTAATACCCAGTGCAAATCTTTGCTTAAAAGAGAATTTATGACCTTACGTGACAAAAACATTTTTGTAAGATGAGTTATCATGGTGAACAGTGTTACTTATTATGTTTGTGGTTTTTTTTACAAGTAATGCAACCAAACATTGATTTTGTTTTAACGTATTTCTTCGTACTACAAAATGTTACGTATTTTTCAATTATCTGAATGTGTTATCACTTCTTTTTCTCAATGAATATATATATTTTGGAAAAGATACAACATCAAAAGTCAAAGGACTGAGCAGTTTTCACTAAGCTTAACTGGAGGGTGTTACTTTTAAATGTACGCCTAAGAGTACAAAATCTAATCTTCGGTATATGCTATATCTCTATATATGCTCTCTATTGGTTAGTATATCAATATTATTGAGGTTTTCAAATTCTAAAAATTATGATTTTAGACACATTTCTGGACGAAGACTATACACAAAGCGCAAACAATCTAAAACAATTTTCTGTAATTAGACTGAGGAAAATAACTGGCATTAAGTGGCTAGAATGTTCTCGTTTCTTGTTAATAGTCCCATTTGTAGTGTTAATTACTCACCTTTCCATTTTATTGTCGGTGGGTAAACCAAAAATTTTAGTCCACGTAGGCCTCGATGAAAAGTTCAGTGTACTAATAATAATTATATGTAATGACAGCGTAACCACATATAAACGTTTCCTGTCGCAATGAAAGCTACGTTATCTGTCCGTGCGACGCAACACCTCAATAAATACCGAAAGATCAAAAGTGGGTTGGCTCTATGTCATGTGACTCTTGTCCCACACATCAGTTTGCATTGAATTAACAAATAATACTAATTTAATTCTAACAATGAAGCAAAAACTAAAAAA